TCTACGCAACCAAGGGCCAGAGAATGACATCAAGAAAAATTGCCTAGAAGAGCTCATGGCGTCTTCAGGTCGCCCAAAATACACAGGCAAAATTCGAAGAATTAGATAAAGTCCACCGAAATGCGGCATTGTAGAGCAGCTCTAGGAATACACTTCTCAGAGAAGAATAAATGGCGCAGAAAACTAGATTGCGGGTACCCCTAGATCCCTAAATGACACAATGGGAAACCGGGAGGGAAATTATCAGCATTTCTGACTCACCAAACCGGGTCAGAGCTACACTCAGCTCAGAAGGTTGGTATGGTGACGTCTCGAGCGATCTACAAAATTCATTTGTTTGTACCTCGACCCCCAATCCTACCCTGATAGGAAAAACGAAATCCCGAAGCTGGAACAACCGAGCCCTACCATTTCAAAACCCACAATTTCAGCAATCTCCATTAGAAACGAAAACTACAGCAGCACTGAAAACAAATGTTACCTAAAGCAACTGATCAAACACCTTCTGAGACAAACATTATTGAGATATGAGGAACCTACCCATGAAGAAGCGAAAATGCCCACTACTTCCAAGATGCCACCGTCAATAATCCTTGATCTAGATAATATACTTCCTACTCTAAAAACCCCGTCTAAACCTCATCAACCAGTAGCAACAACTCCAAAACATGCTACCCCAAAACCTGATAAACCCTCAGGGCATCCAAGAGGAAGCCTTCATTGCCAATACACTCGCATCCGCCGAAAAAACATGCTGAGACAGTCCGAAGTAAATCTGACCCGGATAGAACGGTGGATCCACCTCGCTTCAATTGCCGACATAATAGATGTTTTGGGCCAATCTATGACCAGAAACGAGTTGAGATTGTGGAAAACTCAAAATGCCAAGAGAGCCTTACACGCTAAACTTCCGGAGGCCCAGAAAAAATTGTACACCTAAAATTTTTTAGTGAAAATCTTTTGTTTCTTTCAATTATTCTAACCCAGTTATAGTTATCGCGAAATTAGTTCATTTTTGGGGAAAAGTATTAAATCATCTGGTACTATATATATTCGGCATACCAACACAATTTTAATGGTTCTCAACATACTATTTAATGTAAAAAAATTGATTTTTGTTGAATCGAGTTGTATTTATTAGTTTCTTTATCTTTAACATTGTTGTGGCTACAGCTGCATGGCTGCAAGTACTAGTATTGAGTTAGTCTCTACTTATGCCTCTTTTGGTTCCAAAAATTTTTTTTCCTACCGAATTTTGTTGCATTTTACTGAAACCTCCTTATTTCATTTTCTGTCGGTGAAAAAGAAACAAGATTGTATTCAGTATTCTTGTAATTTTTCAAGCGGGTATGTCAAGTATCTGAAACTCCTAAATACTCCTATGTTTTAATCTTACAGTACTCCTATACAACCATTAAGTGCAATGGCTGTTACGTCGTCTTTGATCAAGTGCCTGCCAAAAGCGATGTAGCTTTTGGACGACCATTGCTTATTTGTTAGCATAGTTTGAATAATTAAACCTATTTAGCTCAACTTATCTTTTAATTTCGTTTTAGTCTAATTTTAGGAATTAGTTAGCGTAGTTAGAATCATTTTAATCTACAACTCTATTTTAACCAATGTACCTCAGTTGTCTAATTGAGTTCCAATAACGGAATTCTTTTCACGCGTTAATAGCGCGAAAAATATCGCGCGTTAATTGTCAGAATTTCGCCAAAATGGCAAAATTCAAACTCTCATAAGTTTACAAATTCAAGCTCAGGGAAACAATGCCTTTTGTATGATTTAGAAAATTTCCGTCAAAAATGGCTCGTTAAAAAGTCGAAATTTGTCTGAAGAATAAAAAAAAACCACCCCGAGCACAAATATTCCGTTACTTTCATTAACGAAATTTGGATCAATTACTTTCGTTACGAAAATCGGAACAAAAATGTGACAATATAGCTTAAACCGAGCATCCCAAATTTCTATTTCGAAGATTTTTGTAAATTTTTGTATAAGTTTCATCATCATAAATTGGTTTTTTGTTTCAATGTAATCCAAGTAATTTTATTCGCTAGTATATTAAGAAACAATTTAACAATATAGCTTGAGGCGAGTATCCCAAATTTCTAAATCGAAGACTATTTGTCTCTAAACATTCAAGGGACAAACAATGAACAGCTTGAAGTATGAATCCAAATCAATCATCTAAACAGCTGAATTTAAGATTCAGAGCTTGTTGTTGGCTTTTTGTTGATCTACTCGGTCACTTTTGTAACTAACTTTCTTTACTTTACATTGAGAACTCTGATCGTATACTAAGTTGCCAACAAACCTTCACGATCTTTCTCGCCTACTTTTTCAAAAAACTATATCAACATTATCTCTGGGTTTTTGATTTGATTGTTAAGTAATCAGTTACGTAATCAGACCCGTGGGAAATTTCCTGGAAAATGTCTTTGGATACTGTGAACAAAAAATTGGTGGCTATCGGGGACGGTGCATGTGGTAAGACATCTCTGCTCGTGCGCTTTTCCAAGCGCGAGTTCCCCGTCGGCTATCAGCCCACTATCTTCGACAGCTACGTCGCCCAGATTACATTAGGCTCCACAATTGTCAAACTCAGCTTATTCGATACTGCGGGTGAGTTCACGGAGCCCGAAACAGTGAAACAAAAACTTTTTTCGTTTCGGAAAAGTTTTCTCTCAACTAATCTCACAAAAATTACAACCGGTCACTCTTTAATGAGTGAATAAGTCAATTGCACCAGAAACGAGGTTCAAGGTCGCATTAACTTTTCAGCTGAGATAATGTTATATAGTTGTTGAAGCGCGGCCGAAAACATTTTTTTTGTATGCAGAGTCGCTACCAAACTTTTTTTTGTAAAAGTCATCTAATTATCCAAATACCATCAGAAGTCAATACTGATTTATCATTTTGATTTAAAGTTTTTCAATTGTCATGGAAACTAAACAGCCAATCAATGCCAAAAAAATATGTAAATTAGCTCTGACGGCCCTACGGTGGCGCTCATGTATTCTACAACATTACAAAGTGGCTTTTTTCTAGATGAATTTATTTAAAACATTTAGTGCTTGTTCACGAAACGTGACGATTGTCTAAAATTACTATTTGAAGCTCTTTTGTAACAAAAACACTTTTTGACCATTTATTTTTAGATATAGATGTTTTAATGACAAGGCGTCTAAATAAAGCAAGACTCTTTGTATCAGGGCGAAGCTCTGAAGGTTACGAATGGTCATAAGCTGGTCTCGAACATTTTTAGATAATGAAATATTGACAAACTTTGATTTTGAAGCTGAATATTAAGAGTGGTCTATGGAACTAAAAGACCAACAAGACTGCTCGTATCAGGGCGAAGCCCTGAATTTTCCGACCGCTTTTTAATGTTTATGGAGCAGTAATAACATTTAAGAAATTGGCTCTTTTCCAGTTCCCCCCCTTTCAAATTCAATTTTGAAAAGTCAATTTAATGTTGTCACAATGCAATGAAATTTGGCGTGGTGAACAAATCGACAATTCTGAACAGACGTTACAGCGTACGTTACAGCGTACGTTTTTCATACGTTACAGCGTAACATCATGCATTTAGCCGTAATAACACGTAAAACAAATATAAAACTCGCTATTTTGAAAGGGGGGGAAACTGGAAAAGAGCCAAGAAATTAAATGAAATAAAACAAAATGAAACTTTTTTTTCTAAAATTTGAATTTTTTAATGAAAATCATCCCCCCACACGCCATATTAACTACAAAAGGATAGATTTCGCTCCTTGTAACAAATCAATTATGGCAACTAAGGTTCTTTCAACCAATTTGGAACGATTTCTAAGACGGATTAACTCTGCGCTTACGCGTTAAAAGCGCGAATTATATCGCGCGTTAATTGTCCCAAATAGGTCAAAATGGCAATCTTTAAACCCTCATAACTTTACGAAAAATGATAACAGGTAAAATATCTTTTCAAATTTAAGCTCAGGACAACAATACTTTTCGAATGATAAAAAAAAAATCCGTCAAAAATGGCTAGTTAAAAAGTCGAAATTTGTCTGAAGAAAAAAAAACCCACCCCGAGCACAAATATTCCGTTACTTTCGTATCGAAAGTCGGAACAATTAGCCTGTCTCAATTGAGTTTTAGAAAAACTTTTGAAGCACGATAAATCGTCACGCGTAAATTTTGCGCGTCAGCTTATCACAGTAATTTTGCAGTCACTCTTAGTCTATTAGTGAGCGTTTTACAACACTCTTCGAAGGAAATTCTAGTTGTCAGCGCGCCCATTCTGAGACCACGATAATTCTGAATGAAAAACCACCCCGAGCAAATATATATGTATCCCTAATTTTGTTGGGATATATAGCATGCTTAATCATTTCAACTTCAGGGACTACGCGTCAAATAGAGCGAAATATATTGCGCGTAAATTATTCCTAATTGGCAGTTTTCAAATTGCTATAACTTTACAAAACAAGATCACAAAAAAAACAAGACTGCTCGTATCAGGGCAAATCCCTGATTGTTCCGACTGCCTTTTAAGGTTTATTGAGCAGCAGTAATATCTAACAAAATCTAAATGAAACAAAATAAAAGGAAATTTTTTTTTCTAAAATTTGAAATTTTTTATGAAAATCATCCCCCCACACGCGGCTATGCTTTTTTCCTGAATTGAATTTATTTCTGGTGTATAAACCAATTGCTTTAAGCAATCGAATCAAGAACGGAACATTTTTCTAAATTTCTGTCGAAATTGTCTATTTTTTATATGTCTATTTTTGTATCATGTCTATTTTTAAATTACTGTCGAAATTGTCTATTTTTGTATAAGTTTCATCATCATAAATTGGTTTTTTGTTTCAATGTAATCCAAGTAATTTTATTCGCTAGTATATTAAGAAACAATTTAACAATATAGCTTGAGGCGAGTATCCCAAATTTCTAAATCGAAGACTATTTGTCTCTAAACATTCAAGGGACAAACAATGAACAGCTTGAAGTATGAATCCAAATCAATCATCTAAACAGCTGAATTTAAGATTCAGAGCTTGTTGTTGGCTTTTTGTTGATCTACTCGGTCACTTTTGTAACTAACTTTCTTTACTTTACATTGAGAACTCTGATCGTATACTAAGTTGCCAACAAACCTTCACGATCTTTCTCGCCTACTTTTTCAAAAAACTATATCAACATTATTTCTGGGTTTTTGATTTGATTGTTAAGTAATCAGTTACGTAATCAGACCCGTGGGAAATTTCCTGGAAAATGTCTTTGGATACTGTGAACAAAAAATTGGTGGCTATCGGGGACGGTGCATGTGGTAAGACATCTCTGCTCGTGCGCTTTTCCAAGCGCGAGTTCCCCGTCGGCTATCAGCCCACTATCTTCGACAGCTACGTCGCCCAGATTACATTAGGCTCCACAATTGTCAAACTCAGCTTATTCGATACTGCGGGTGAGTTCACGGAGCCCGAAACAGTGAAACAAAAACTTTTTTCGTTTCGGAAAAGTTTACTCTCAACTAATCTCACAAAAATTACAACCGGTCACTCTTTAATGAGTGAATAAGTCAATTGCACCAGAAACAAGGTTCAAGGTCGCATTAACTTTTCAGCTGAGATAATGTTATATAGTTGTTGAAGCGCGGCCGAAAACATTTTTTTTGTATGCAGAGTCGCTACCAAACTTTTTTTGTAAAAGTCATCTAATTATCCAAATACCATCAGAAGTCAATACTGATTTATCATTTTGATTTAAAGTTTTTCAATTGTCATGGAAACTAAACAGCCAATCAATGCCAAAAAAATATGTAAATTAGCTCTGACGGCCCTACGGTGGCGCTCATGTATTCTACAACATTACAAAGTGGCTTTTTTCTAGATGAATTTATTTAAAACATTTAGTGCTTGTTCACGAAACGTGACGATTGTCTAAAATTGCTATTTGAAGCTCTTTTGTAACAAAAACACTTTTTGACCATTTATTTTTAGATATAGATGTTTTAATGACAAGGCGTCTAAATAAAGCAAGACTCTTTGTATCAGGGCGAAGCTCTGAAGGTTACGAATGGTCATAAGCTGGTCTCGAACATTTTTAGTTAATGAAATATTGACAAACTTTGATTTTGAAGCTGAATATTAAGAGTGGTCTATGGAACTAAAAGACCAACAAGACTGCTCGTATCAGGGCGAAGCCCTGAATTTTCCGACCGCTTTTTAATGTTTATGGAGCAGTAATAACATTTAAGAAATTGGCTCTTTTCCAGTTCCCCCCCCCCTTTCAAATTCATTTTTGAAAAGTCAATTTAATGTTGTCACAATGCAATGAAATTTGGTGTGGTGAACAAATCGACAATTCTGAACAGACGTTACAGCGTACGTTACAGCGTACGTTTTTCATACGTTACAGCGTAACATCACGCATTTAGCCGTAATAACACGTAAAACAAATATAAAACTCGCTATTTTGAAAGGGGGGGGGGAAACTGGAAAAGAGCCAAGAAATTAAATGAAATAAAACAAAATGAAACTTTTTTTTCTAAAATTTGAATTTTTTAATGAAAATCATCCCCCCACACGCCATATTAACTACAAAAGGATAGATTTCGCTCCTTGTAACAAATCAATTATGGCAACTAAGGTTCTTTCAACCAATTTGGAACGATTTCTAAGACGGATTAACTCTGCGCTTACGCGTTAAAAGCGCGAATTATATCGCGCGTTAATTGTCCCAAATTGGTCAAAATGGCAATCTTTAAACCCTCATAACTTTACGAAAAATGATAACAGGTAAAATATCTTTTCAAATTTAAGCTCAGGACAACAATAATTTTCGAATGATAAAAAAAAATCCGTCAAAAATGGCTAGTTAAAAAGTCGAAATTTGTCTGAAGAAAAAAAAAACCCACCCCGAGCACAAATATTCCGTTACTTTCGTATCGAAAGTCGGAACAATTAGCCTGTCTCAATTGAGTTTTAGAAAAACTTTTGAAGCACGATAAATCGTCACGCGTAAATTTTGCGCGTCAGCTTATCACAGTAATTTTGCAGTCACTCTTAGTCTATTAGTGAGCGTTTTACAACACTCTTCGAAGGAAATTCTAGTTGTCAGCGCGCCCATTTTGAGACCACGATAATTCTGAATGAAAAACCACCCCGAGCAAATATATATGTATCCCTAATTTTGTTGGGACATATAGCATGCTTAATCATTTCAACTTCAGGGACTACGCGTCAAATAGAGCGAAATATATTGCGCGTAAATTATTCCTAATTGGCAGTTTTCAAATTGCTATAACTTTACAAAACAAGATCACAAAAAAAACAAGACTGCTCGTATCAGGGCAAATCCCTGATTGTTCCGACTGCCTTTTAAGGTTTATTGAGCAGCAGTAATATCTAACAAAATCTAAATGAAACAAAATAAAAGGAAATTTTTTTTTCTAAAATTTGAAATTTTTTATGAAAATCATCCCCCCACACGCGGCTATGCTTTTTTCCTGAATTGAATTTATTTCTGGTGTATAAACCAATTGCTTTAAGCAATCGAATCAAGAACGGAACATTTTTCTAAATTTCTGTCGAAATTGTCTATTTTTTATATGTCTATTTTTGTATCATGTCTATTTTTAAATTACTGTCGAAATTGTCTATTTTTGTATATGTTTCATCATCATAAACTGGTTTTCGCTTCAATGTAATCCAAGTAATTTGATTCGCTACCACACTAAGAACAAGACTGTTGGTATCAGGGCGAAGCCCTGAATGTTCCGACTGCCTTTTAATGCTTATGGAGCAGTAATGTCACGAAAAAGTTAAATGTAATAAATTAGAATGAAAAAAAAATCTAAAATTTGAGCTTTTTTGCGAAAATCTTATTAAGTACAAAAGGATAGATTTCGCTCCTTGTTACAAATCAATTCTGGCAAATAAGCTTCTTTCAACCAATTTGGAACTTTTTATAAGAAGGATTAATTCTCCGCTTACGCGTTAACAGCGCGAATTATATTGCGCGTTAATTGTCCCAAATTGGTCAAAATGGCCAAAATGGAAATCTTTAAACCCTCATAACTTTACGAAAAATGATCACAGGTGAAAAAACTTTCCAAATTTAAGCTCAGGACAACAATACCTTTTGAATGATATAAAAAAATTCCGTCAAAAATGGCTAGTTAAAAAGTCGAAATTTGTCTGAAGAAAAAAAACCCACCCCGAGCACAATTATTCCGCTACTTTCGTATCGAAAGTCGGACAATATTTTTGAGAGAGCTTTAGAGCGTCCATATTCTTAGGTAAACATTGTGCTCAAAATAGCTGTTTACAAACTCGTAATCTCTTTAAAAAAACTAGAACGAGTACAACATTTTCGTCGTCACTTTCTTCAAAAATCGGAATAATTAGATCTCTTCCGCTTCTTTAATGACCCCTACTTAAAACTCTTCGCTTATATATGAAAAATCGGTGCCAAACTCAAAATCTCTTTGTTCTTGGATAAGGTTACAACTTGCTTTAGCACTTTTTTAGTCCAAAGGGGCAGCTGCACTTTGCAAACTCAAGCAACAAAAAAGTGAAAAAGAGCTGAAAAAAATCATCCAAGTACGAGTATCAGCCGGAATAGACAATAAGCCTTCAAAATGTCCTGTGGTTGCTGGGGATCGAACACGTGAGCAGCTCACGAGACCTCCGTGTAATGAAGACTTTATGATTTTCTTTTTACGCAACCTTGAGTAGCAGTAAGCAGGCAACATTGAATGTGCTTCGGTTGACTGATAGCCAATTGATTGACCAGTAGATAGCAATCTAGTTGTCCATAGTTCTTAGAGTTGAAAACCGAATTTCACCCACAAAAAAGCAAATGAGATTACAAAAAATCTGACCTTCAAATTCGAGTATTGCCTAGATAATTCATTAATTTATTTCAAATATTTTTCCTGCTAAACTCGGAAATTTTATTCAAACACTTTCAAATAAAAAAATTTGAGGTGGTTTTTTTTGGAAAAATACAGTCTTACTATTTCTTCCCGAAAAAGGACTATATATTGAAACTCTTTTTATTATTGGACTCAGGCCTAAACAAAAACAGTTTTACCGTATTAAAGTAAGCTAGTAAGATTATCATCAAACAAAATTAAAGTTTGCCTAAAAAATTGTCTAATGAATCTGGCGTAACTTATGCAGAAATAATTTTTTGCTCATTTTTACTCCAGCACTGCTGGAAAAAGTTCCACCCGTTCAAGCATTTTGAAGTTTTAAAAAACACAATTAACGATAGCAAGGTGGATTTTCTGAAAATACAGGATCAATTAAATTCAAAATAGGTTTTCAGTTGCAGTTAGCAAGAGTTGTTGCACACTTACCTTTGGCAACTGTTACCAAATTGCTGAACGAAAATTTTTCTCAAATGACAACCAGCGTTATAAAATATTTTAGACTGCAAAGTAGTGTTACGGCTGAAAATTTGGGTCAAGTTTGACAGAAAATTGTAGAAAGACAATTTTTGCATGCTGGCGGTTTTAACATACACTCTAATCGAAAATTGAATCTAGTGTTGGTTGTTAGCTAAGCAACGAAAATTTAGTACGTTTTTAGGTTCCCGTCACTTTAGTCTACAGTTTTTTTTAGCCATCCCTGCGTGTATTTGGACATCTCATCGTTTTGAAGGTAGAGATAGCAGATGTACGGATGCTAAGGTTTACATATCATCCTACTTTCAAGTGTTTTGGTCGAAAATTAAGACCTAGCCTGACAAGTTCAGTGTTTTTTAAAGTATTTTGTCGTCCTACATCTCCTTCTATGTACTTTTTCCTTCAAAGCAAACTGTTGAACAAAAACTAGAGTTAGAAAACTTAGTTGCATTATTGCAGTGACCTTGTCAACTTGTTTGTTGGATTCATTTTCACCGTATTTTCCAGTCTGTTTGTTGGAGAAGGATTCAGAGAAAACCTGGTTTCTTTTCTGTATCGAAATAATACAACTTCTAGCTTGCCTCAGAGTGAAAATGCTTCAGCTACCTATTTTTAACTGAATCTTGTGTAAGCAATTTTATCAACAAACTTTTGTTTTAAAATTCTACTAGGTTTTTTCATCCGACTACTGCTAGCGAGTAGAATGCAACCTCAATTACAACAAGAAATGTTTGTGAAGTTGGGTGATAAACTATATTAAGACCTTTATAATGAAGCAAATAAAAAGTGCAATGCATAAAAACAAAAGGAACTTCTTTGGATAAATTTTTCGCCAGACGAAAAAGTTGCAATGTTTTGTTTTCAATGATTTTTTTTCTCACAAATAGATGCTTTCTTTGATGCTTTCCGTCCTCTACACTAAAAGATCTCCACTTTTAGTGTCATACAAACTGTTATACAAAGAATTGCATATATAAACAAGGGTAGCCGACTACTGTGCAAGTAACACAGAATGTTCCGTTCATAGTCTCTAAAAAGTTTTTTTTCTGCGCTGTGTAATAAAAAGATTTGGAGTTAAACTATAAATTGGGCATATTGGACAGTCATAAAAATATAGGCACACATGAGAACACTTTTTGAAGAAAAAAAGACTACAAAAAAGAAAGCATTTTTAAAAAGTCTCGGAATTAGACGAAAAATCATAAATTTCAAACCCTTTTTCTCGACGATGGAAAAATAACTTCAAAATTCTTAAATGCCGTTCGAATCATGACGGTAATGGCTTTAATATGATAAATCTTTCAAATTTTTCCGATGATTAGTTGTGGTAGCTAATTTTGCGTGGAAAACAAAAAAAAGGTAAAAACTAAAGCATAACCGAAAACACAGTTTTATAAACGGTCGGAGCAATTATACGAAATTGCGAGTTCTTACCAGCCCAAAAATTTGCTGTCAGGTTATCAGTTTATCCGAAAAAACACAAGCTAACGAATTCTGTCGCTAATGTTCTGGTTCCGTTTTTCAAAATTTGTGCCTTCGACTGCAGGTTTTCTCTTCACATCTTTCGGCAGTACTAAGGCAAGGTCTCCTAGCATCTCGTATCGCCTTGTGAGAGAACGCGCTGTATGTGTAAATCTTTTTTCTAGCTTTTGAGTGGTTTTCTATGTTTTACTCAGACCATCTAGGAAATCTGTAACTGACAACAGGCAACCAAAAAATCGTAACCGAAAAAATCAACTTATTATAACAATTAATCAATTACGAAACGTTATCGCTTTCCTTGAAGCTAAAATTAGAAATGTTTTTTAATGAATCACACTGTATAGTTAGTCTGCTGAACACAAGTAGGCGAACCAAATTTTTCTTTTTGATTTAATAAGCCAATTTTCCAATTGAAATTGTACATAATTATGTGCGATGTTTTTTTTTTCTGTGGATTCTCTACAATTTACCATCTATTGCTTTTCTCATACGGTTTCAGAGACTTCTTTTGATGTATTGAGTAAGAACTCGACTATAGTTTTTTAATGTTTTTGAAAAAAAATTTCTTCATTTTAGCATAGATCAACAGACATTTTTGGAGTTGTCCCTTGTTCCATATCATGATCTTCAATTTGATTGTATTTGACATGTCTTCGATTTGATTATAAAACTTTCTCTTTGTTCGTTTTCATTGTGACTGCCTGGCTATTACTTACTTCCAAGGTTTTTGAAATATTACTTTGTCCAGCCAGTTCAATTTAAATAAACTGTTTTAAATGAAGTGATTTCGTTTAAAAAATTTTGGTTCGCAGACAGTGTCAAAAAAAACTCATTTATACTCTGAGAAAAAACAGAAATGGCCATTTCTGTGTCGTGTGGCTGTAGAATATAGTAGGCTATTTCAGATATTTACAATTATCTCGGGAGGATTTATTCTACGCCAAGTTATTTTCTGCGTAAGTTTTACGTAAGCTCTCAGAATTTTAGTTTTTTTTGGGATACAATTCACTCACACCAATATTATATTTCCAACCACTCCACGAAGTGAGAAGAAACTATTTCCTAGGTTTAAATTTTACTGAAAATTGACTACACCCAGGGAAACGAGCAGAGAGTCTAGTGTGGTATCATATTAGGGTCTTAAGCCGTGTTAGCTTCGAAAAACTAATTAAAAGAGTCTCGGTTTCAAGAAAATTTGTTTCTTTTTTAGACTAGTTGGCACGAAATTAAAAACTATACTGTACCCTCATTTCAGTTTCAGAGTTTTTCTTCTACTAATGTTTGTATTTTTGATCTAATTCACTTGCGAATAATTGAAGAAAAAAAAACAATTTTTGGCAAACTTTCTGAGCTTTTCGCGCAGGAACTGGTTGTCCTCGCAATAATTTTAGTTGGTATAAATGTCTACGTCCGCACACGCAAGAATCTAACACGACTCTAAACTGTTTCTTTCTTAAAAATTGGTTCATTACTTGACGTTAGTTATCGAATTTTTATTCTTTTCATCAAACAGACCTTTGCTGCCGTTTTTATAGATGTCTTGATTATTTTTATGTTGCAATATGAATAAACCGACTATTAGTCTCAATACAAGTTTTGATGACTGATACAAATAGTTTTCTCGGATTCCACGTCCCAAAATTCAAGCTGCAAAAATATCTTGTTCCCATAAAAATTTGTAGAAAATCCACAAAAAAATTTACAGTGGAACTCAAAATTCTGTGACTATTCAAACTCCGGCAATTTGACGCACAGGCACAGAATTTTGCCATAATTATTGTTCCGACGTTCAAAGAAAAAAAAACGGAACATTTGTGCTCGGGTGCTTTTTTCTCAAGACTTTTTTCGACTTTTAACCAGGAATTTTTAACGAATTTTTATTGTATCAGCCTGTATTGTTGTCTTGAGCTCAGATTTAAAAAGATATTTTACCTCCGATCAGTTTTTTAAAGTTATATGGATTTAAAGACTGCTAATATTTGGATCAATTAACGCGCGATATTTTTCACTCTATCAACGCGTCAGCGGAGATTTAATCGCTCCAAGTTGGTTGAAGCAGGCGAGTTGTCATAATTGCTACGTTACAAGGAGCAAAATTTATCACTTTTTCTCCGTTTTTTGTATTGTTTCTGATTGAAAAATGCAATATTTTTAAACCAGAGCAGTTTTTGCATAAAAAACTATGCAATTTTCAATCAAAAATTAAAAAAAAGAATCATACTTTTTTGAGATTTTTTTGTAAACTGTTCTCCCAACATGGACCCGATACATAGACCTTAAAAAGCACTCAAATCATTCAGGGCTTCACCCTCATACAATAGCAGTCTTGTTGTTCCGACTTTTGAAGAAAACGGAATATTTATGCTTGGTGTTTTTTGTCAATTTTCGACGATCGAAATAATAGCTTTTTTTATTTTTATGCCCATTGAAGATATCGATTCCTTGAAATCAAATTTGAAAAGATTTTTTACCTCCAATGCTCTGTACTAATTTATGCGCGCTTTGTAGATTTTATCTATAGCCGTGAAAGAGTAACGCGAATTATTCATGCATGGCGATTTATCCCGCACAATAAAATCGTTCCAAATTGAATTGAGGCTAGCTATCGTTTGTATTAATTTCGTACGACTCAAATGTTCACCCTTGATCTTGGTATTGTCCAAAACTTATAGTTTTTCAATATTTTCTTTTCTCAAAAACTATTCGAGATGGGTTAAGGAACAGTCGAAACATTCAGGGCTTTGCACTGACATACGATTAGTCTTGGTATATAATTAGTTCGGAATAGATTGATTTAGCAATGCACAGAAACCAAACGGCCTTGCCTTAGCGTGAGATTGAATATGGAATATTTAACAGAACTACTAAGAAAAGATCTGATTAAATTGGATGGGGACGAAATGTCACTTTTCTCATTGCGGCGAACTGCCCACCAATTGTTGCTTGTGAAGAATCGATGACAATGTTGCTTTTTTTTGTAATGTTCTGTCTTCTTTTGTCTGTAGGTCAGGAGGACTTTGACAGACTGCGTCCGATTGCTTATCAAGATGTTGACGTGGCCTTGATGTGTTTCGACCTTACTCAGGCGGAGAGTCTGGAGAACTGTGAGAACAAATGGAAGGGCGAACTTGATTACTTCATGAAGAGCACCCCCTTCATACTCGTGGGGCGAGTACTCTTCAGTAGCGGATCTGGGGGGGGGGGGGGGGGCTTTGGCGCCGATAAGTTTTTTTTGAGGGGCCGCCTCACGCCAAAAATACGCCCAAAAATAGACTTTTTGGACTGCTTTTTTTTAAAAAAAAAAAAGTTCTCTCGAAAAAATTCTAGTTCCGCCCCAGTGCTCATTGCTTTTGTTTTTTGTTTAATTTTATGTTTTCAGTGATAGTTTTGTCCCCACAATATCGCGCTACCAAAAAAAAAGAAGACTCCAGTAAGGAGTCGCTTTCTTTCGAGGCATCCAACATATTTTAGCAATTTTTTAGAATCCGAATCGCAAAGTTCGCAATCGGGATAAAGGCTGATGCCAAAGTGGGTTTTATCTGATGCCAAAATTATACTTGATCTTCATGAAAGTTTCTTTGCGCCAACTAAAACTGTGTAATACATTTGCTATAGCTACTCAACAAAGAAATCGGAACAAAAATAATGTAGTAATTAACTAAAACTGTCTGGATTCCCAAATAAAGTTCAATCCTCGATCGAATGACTTCCTAAAATTTGACTTCCTAAAAGAAGACTCTCTGACCGCATTTGATTGCTTTGAATCATTTAATATTTTGAGTACTTCAAACTGTTTTCATATTTGATTAGTTATGTGTTTGTCATTTAGGTGTAAATTGGACAGTCGTGAGGAAATGACGGGAGACAGCAATTTAGTGTCCACTCATCAGGGCCAGGACATCGCCAACAAACTGGGCGCAGCACGCTACATGGAGACGTCGGCTAAGAGGGGCGACAACGTCGACGACCTGTTCGATCAAGCCGCCCGACTTGCATTCAAAAGCTCCCAGGGCGGTGGATGCTGTGTTATCTGCTAGACACTGCTCACTTCTATCCTAATTCAGCCCACTTATGATATTTGAAGATAACTTTGGATTGTAATTAAGAAGATAATATATTTTTTATTCACATTACAGGCCTAGTGTTTCTTCAATTTTACAAATGTGGACAGACAACTTGACCATGTCCGACTTTTATTTTAGAAAATCTCGAAACAATTCGCGCAAATTTTCTGACTCTAAGAAGTCCGATGCGAATTGTTTTGAGTCTTTTTCATACAAAGCAACCCCCCCCCCCCAAAAAAAAGGAGTGGGAAGGAAGTATGGCGTAGATTCTGTTTTTTCTCCAACGCAATTTGACTACCTCGAAGGCAACTGGAAGAGGGTCTAGTCTGGTATCTTATGATATGAAGATCAACCTTTGATTGTAATTAAGAAGGTAATATATTTTTTATTCGCGTTCACATTACAGGCTTAGTGGTCCTACCACTTTACAAATGTGAACAGGAAAATTGACCATTTCCGACTTTTATTCAGCAATTTTAGATATCTCGAAACAATTCGCTTGTTTGAGTGTCGAAAAAATTGTCAGAAGAATTGGTTTTCAAATTTTTCAACTTTTTTTTCGTAATAATACTTTACTTTTATTATCGAGATCGATACAGGATTTGATTGAGCGCTTTTGAATCAAAAGCTTGTGTAATTTTACCTGACTTAGACCTAATGACAACAAAGTGCAGCAGCGCAGAGTACTCAAAATATTATGAGCCAACTTCCGACAAGAAGTCGCAAGCTCAAAACTATCTGGAGTATATTCTTCTATTCAATTCAGAACATTGAAACGTTTTTTCCCCTCAATTTTCGGTTCATTGTGAGATATGCAAACTGTGGATCTAAATAGAGTGAGGTTAGTAGCAAACTCTTTGTCATTGAGCTGGGCAACTGTGATTCGAACCCCGATCCAATCACAGAATTAAACAAAGTTACAGAAAATAGTACACGCTTTACTGTTCAATGTTTGCCGACGAAAGTAATGACCAAATTTAAAAAGAGTGAAGCCGCCTTCAATATTGGTCAAAATTTTCTTAGACGAAGTTGTAATGTGCAGTTCAGTTTAACACCCGGGTTGACGTCATACAAGAAAAATTCATATCATACTATTTCATATATGGTGTCTATGGAGAAAAAGCTTATCATACAATTTTGAATGAGGAAAATGTATGACAAGCATTTTTCAATCGAAAGTTTTTTTTTGACAATTATCTTAAATTGGTTTTAAAACTCAAGCAAAACAATTTGGTGGCAGTTTTGGTTACATGAGAACATTTTGACATCAAAAAAATTTTTTCGAACAGAAAATGCTTATCATACAATATCATATATGAAAAATTTATTATGTGCATTTTTCCATAGAAAAATACTGAGGTTAAAATTATTCTATCCCTTTTTTTGGTTGCCAACTTGATTCTGTGCTCGAATAGTTTCTCACAATTTCACAAAAAATTGCGTTTGCTATTTTCATAAAATCTTTGTGATAAAAAGCATGACAAAAAACTTGTTATTTAGTTCTAAAATGTGGCAAAAAATGCTTATTCTGAAATTTCATAGTATGGAAAAATGCTTATCATGCTATTTTCATACTATTTCTTTGGTCGATAAAAAAGTAAGAAATAGTATTAAAAGCATTTTTTGCATAGTATGAAATTCTATGATAGGCATTTTTTGTCAACCCGGGCAGCTCATAAATTCAGGTTGTCACTCGTTATTTTGTAACACCTAGACGGTTTCCAATTGGTACCAAAAAATTAGTTTTCTATCTGCATAAGTTTGTGTGGGTGCTAACATCATTTCGATGATCAAAATGCCTCGTGATGCGAACGTGCAAGTCAGATATACATAAGTGAGTTTTTCTAATTAGTAGAAAAATGGACTCTCAAATCGCCAGAATTGCTAGTTATTCGATTAAGAACTGAGAAGTGACTCTTACAGTTAAATTAGCAACAGTGAAAAAGCTTATTATGAAGATACGTATAAACAAACCACCTTTTGGATTTAATTTTTGTTTTTCAAATCAAAACAAACATCTGCATAGTTTGCATGTTTAACAGCAATAAACCAAAAACGCCTTTTCTCGTCGAAAACCAATCAGATATTCGAATTCATGCGTTAAAAGCTTTGGTAACTTAATCTATTATTTATTTGAATGCACAAGAAGTTTCAAATCAGAATTAATCTAATGTAAATGGCTCAAAATAATGCACGCGCTCTCTTACCGCAAATAAAAAAATGTAAATGTACGCGAAAACATACCACGCAAAAGCACGGCTACAAATAAACACGCGAACAACAAACATCAAGTCTCCTTCTGCTTCAAAAATTTATGAATGAAAAATTTCAGATTTGGATTACTTGATTTTAACGATTAATTAACTTTTTCTATTTATTCTTATCTAAAAATACTTGGTTATTTCATCATTTACTTTGTGAATGATACGTAAGAATCGAGCATGGTGCAATTTCCAAACCGAGAACTATGCAAAAGCAAAACAGACTAAAAATATATCAGTCGACAGAAAATTTGATTAAAAAAAACTGTCATGGAGCCTTGAAGTTCGAGATCTAGCTACTTGTTCTTGTTTTACCTCATAAAATCACCTTGCTGAAATCCATTCTGTTGATCGTTGTAAATTTTGTATTCATTTAAATAATTAATTCGGAAAGAAAATGCGAACTGTCCAAAAAAAATTAATTTATTCAAAATAACTTCTGTGAGCTTTATGATTGATCTAGTGATAATTTGTAAGATTCTGTAAGTTTCGAGTTAAAATGTCGGTGTCAACGACAACAACGGAATGGTTCGCTGCACCCTATCTGGACGAGGAAGGTCAGAGGAACTACAAACCCCTAGATCGGGACATCTTGCAGCTTCCAGTAATAGTATCTCTACAAGGCGCGCTGGAACTGGTAAACATGAGTGACGAGGATGCTCGAAAAGGTACCTACACTCAAGATAACATCCCCACAATAGAACTGGACGAAAACCCAAACTACGAAGCAATGACGCACGAACAGAAGTTAAACTCTCTGAGCGTGGAAGTTCGCATCTTGAACGAGGGCGTTTTAGCTTTACGGGAGGCCACCTACTACCCTACTTTCTTTTCAGCCCCAATAATAACGGGCTGCTCAATTAATAACTTCTACGACTATAGTATCATATCTATACACTATTACATTCTTCTGCGCAAACATAATAACCGAGAAGGAAGAGTGACAAGGTACCGATACTTCCGAGACGCTCCCGACAGGAGACGTGCCTTGAACAACTTCTACAAAGCCATTCAGTTGTTAATACGAGGCAGAGATTTGAGTGTCATCAAAAACATAGAGACACACGAGTGGAAACCCGAAAAAGTACTAGTGATGCTCAACCCGAGAAGTGGATCCGGAAAGAGCATGAAAGTATACGACCAGTTGGTGTCCAAGATGTTACGACAAGCTGCGATGGAAGCGAAGCTAGTTGTGACGTCATATAAGAACCACGCGAGTGAGTACGCACTTCGGGAACGACTGGACATATACGCCGCAATTCTTCTAATCTCGGGCGATGGACTCTACCACGAGTTCCTCAGCGGCATGATGGAACGACCCGACAGACAGGAAGCGGGACGGGTGCCGGTGTCGATTGTTCCGACCGGCTCAAACAATACCCTAGCTGGGTCGGTGCTGAAAAGTAGAGGCGAACACACGAAGAAGAAGTACGCAGCCGCCAACTGTATGTTTGCCTTCATCAAGGGACAGCGACAGGCGTGCGATGTCGTCCAAATACGCAGTAGCAACCTCGTCTTCTACTCAGGTTTGTTAATGAGCACATTTTTGTAACAACAGGCAAATAACGGTGGAAAAAGCTCAGTAAAAACGCTAGAAGTTTTGAGTGTACAAAAATATATGGTGCTTTCTAATTTTTTTTCTGAAATAACATGAAAAATGGTTTGATTGTTTAATGTGAAAATGAAGCATAAATAAGCGAAAATATATAAATGCATATGTATAAATAAATGACGCATAAAACTAAGAAGCATAAATTATTTTGAAGTTAGCTCAACACTAGTCACGCTTCGCATCACTCGCGATAAACGTAGAAATAGTCTTTTCACAGACTGAAAAAAGTATTATGAAATAGCACGAAGTCATCCTAAAATTTCCCAGGTAGTACCCGGGTTCATCAATTTACCTTAAAATGCGAAAAATTACCGTGTCACGCAAGTTTTTTAAGTTAACTGTTTGTTATACATTTTGAGTGGTTGAGAAACGTTTTAGGATTAATTGAAACATGATTTTGCGGAATTTTGTAACAAAGCTCGAGATTATTATTCTGTGGGTTTTGGATATTCGCAATAGATACACCTGTAACTACCCATCCTACAAAATGCACATCTTTTTGGTAGCTAATGATACTGAGACAAAACTTGCTACTGTGTTGCGTAGAGGTGTCTAAAACTGTACTTATTTTGGTTCGCAAGCTCATCACCCCGCGTTTTCAACCTTTTTTTTTTCTTAATCTCATCTCAGATAACCCCAGAATAAGGTTACAATTAGATTACAATTAGATTACAGACTACCCAACAATATAACTTCTTTTTAAAAATCAAAATCAGACTTTCTTGAAAGTGAACCTGGAATAATAGCGTCGATAAATATCAAAGCTTTAAAAGCGAACGTTTTTGCGAAACAAAACGAAATAACACTGCTCGTATATCAGGGCAAAACCCTTAAATTTCCGACTGCAATTAAGGCCAATTGAAAAAATTTTCGGTTGATTAATTTACAAAATACTTGTGAAAAAAGGTGTTTTTAGCTTCTCGTTTTGAGATAATAAGATTAAGTGGCTAAACCAAACTCAAGTTGGAATGCATTAGTTTGCTTCTTAAGCGTGTTATAGTAAAGCAATCGGTCGCACTTTAATTATCCCAATTTGGTCAGGTTAGCAATTTTCAAACGCTCGTAATTTTACGAATAGTGATCACAGGTGAAATATCTTTACGGATTTGAGCTTAAGATAACAATATCTCTCAAATCATATACAAAAGTTCCATGAAAAACGTTTAATTAACAAGTCGAAAATAGAGACTGAATAAAAAAACCATAACAAGCATAAATATTCTTCACTTTCTTGGAAAGTCGGAACAATTAGTAACCAAAAACGACTAGATTATTCAAAAAATATACTTGATTTCGAAAACATTCTAGCTAATAAAAGAATAATTTGCTGAATTTAATTGAAATATGGAATGGAAACTGGTTGTGACCAAAAACTTGATCTTAAAGTAAACCTATCTTGATTTTCGAACCATCTAAATTTGTCGTTTTTTTTAATTGTCAACAAACAACGCAATATCTAAAGGGTTTGCCAGCCCCTAGTCCCCACCTATCGTCCTCACAAAGGCGCGATTGTTCCAGAATCAAACTGCGGATAGAGACAGCTTTTTTCAAATGCGAGTCAAGACAATGCGTCAAGACAATGACTATACTAAATAGAGACAGCATTTTTGAAATGCGAGTCAAGACAATTTGTTTTTTTTACGTCTTTGGGATGCTGCAGGGATACGTCTCCGGGATACGTCTCCGGGATGCTGCAGGGATACGTCTCCGTTTTTTTACGTCTCCGGGATGCTGCAGGGATACGTCTCCGGGATACATCTCATTTTTTTACGTCTCCGGGATACGTCTCATTAAAAGTATATACAAAGAAGAAATAAGCAAACTTTTAGCTTAAGTTGGTCAACGCGCACAAAAAAAATTCTTTTGTCTTCGTAAACAAGCATAGTATTGTGCTCTTTTTCGTTTAGGACTTGGTTTTTTGTTACTTCCTTTAGCACCATGTAGGTTATCTCTGTTTTCAACGCGTGAATGAGGGATTATTTGTTTAGCTAATTGAGACGCATTTATTTTTGAGATGCTAGAGGCATCTTGTGAATTACGAATAGTTTTTCAGGCATCGTTTAGTACACTTAATTGGAATACTACTATAGTTGTGTAGTTAAAATACGACTTAATTTGAAAGAATTTATCGGCAATAAATAGGGGTTAATTGGTGTAGCGTTGCCTCGTTACGGGGTTATAAAGAAGGGGTGTAAACATAGGGGGATGAATAATGTGTGGATGAAGAGCGGGACACTCTTCTTTTTAACTTGTAACATTTCATTTTGAAGTTTCTTAATCGGGTCTATCTGATAATGTTACAAAACTAACCCGCCGATGATATGCTGATCTTACTGTATTGCTGGGTAACTTACACGCAAAGCACGCCCATATTCGCATAAACCAAACAAATAATTAGCGCGTAATACGCAAGTAGGGATAGATTTGCTAAGTCGGGTTTGATTTTGAAAATTTGAAGGATTTGCAGAACTTTTCATTGAAACTTTAAATTAACGAACTAAAAAATTTAGCAAAAAATTTGACCAAATTTAAAATCTAATTGAAAGATTTTGAGAAAGTATTCACGGACTTTAATTTGTACAGTCAGGTAAATTTCATTGAACTTAAAAAAACTCAAAAATTGAAACGAAGTCCAGAAAACGCCCTTAATTTCAACCATATTTCAAAAATACATTGTAGGTTTGATTTTTACGTGTTTTTTGCAGCCAATAAATTTTCAATTTAGGCCCATTTCTGATCAGAATGATTGTTAAAAACATCAGTCGTCGGCATATATCAAACTGATTAACTTGGAGCAAAAAACTTCTAAGTTTCCACCCATACTTTTTGTTTATTTGAAAAAATGTTCAGTGCACATGTACTACTTACATCACTGGAAATCAACGCTCATCTTGGCATGTTGCTGATTCTCGGTAAAAAGTTCTTGACTTTGAGCGGAAGTTTCATCTCAGCAACAAATTTGATTCAGCCTGGAAAATACCATAGTTTGTTCTTTAATCTCGCAATACAGTAATACTCTCTTATAACATTTAACAAATTCATCGGACAACGTCTTATATTTTTGAATTATTTCTGACCTTCAGACAGAGAAATGGCGTTAAAATTGCAATCAAGTTTTCAAAACTGCATTTGAACTGCTAAAAGAGCATTGGAAAATGATTGCGGTTTTTCGGAAAATTTTATTTTTGCATTATTCAAGAGCACAATTGAAAAAACTTTTTCATTCAACAAAGATTTGTCATGTAATTTTTCGGAGCAAAAAAACATATAAAATGCCGACACACAGGCAAACGCGAAACTTCAAAGAAGTATTTCGATTTATTCTAAGTTGGAAGGTCAAAATTATTTGAGAAATATAAAACCTTGTCTGATAAATTTGTTAAACGCTATAAAAAGCTCTGATTATTGCTCTAGGAAATCTAAAAAGAAAAAAACAATCTAAAGAACAAAATAAGCTTCAGTTAAGTGCCAGTAGCATGATATGATCATTATATTATCGGCAGCAATAATACTACTACATGAAATAATCAGCAGCAAAAATACTACCGTAACTGATAAATGCAGTCACCGAAGCAATATGGGATCTACTTAACAATCCCCCTTCAATAGGGGGGGGGGGGGGGGGAGATTGTTAAGTAGATCCGCAATATGTATTGCTGTTAGGCCAGTTTTGAGCAAAAACGACGAGTACCAGAGATTACACAGGTACCTCTGACCTCACCGCCGATCTATCAAAAAATGAGAAGTTTGTCTTATAAAATTCCGTTTGTTAATACTTTTATACCTTTCTGCCTCAATTATTTTATTGATTTATACTTTTTTGTGCACTCTTTTACGTACTATTGGGCCTAGCTAGATCAATCTGTTTTAAACCAATGGTTTGATGCCAGATGAGAGCTTATTGCCCTCACTGTCATTGCCATTTCTATCTGATAGTTTCAAAGAGAGCGCATAACAGCTATGAGAAGTTTCTGCTGCATATGTGTTGCAGCGGTATCCTTGGGCCGAAAAATTGCAATGTGTTTTTTGTTTCCATAATTTAAAAAAATGATGCAAAAGATTCGTGCTCGGTGTGTTTTATCTCTTCAGACAAATGTTCACTTTTTTAACTAGCAGTTTTTGATAGATTTTAAAAACGCGCTCTGAAAGATATTGTAATGTTGATGCGTTGATCTTAATTTTAAAAATATTTCACTTGCGACAATTTTATATGTTTTTGGGGTTTGCACGCTTCAATTTGATCAATTTGGGACAAAAAAATGCTCGTAAAAGTTCCCTTTTCCATCTAAGCGTAGCGTAAGCCTTTTGAGCTAATTTGATCTTAAATCGAATGCTTTCCTTATTAGGCCTGTACTACACGTGGGGGAATTTGGCAACTATCTATGACAACAGTCGAAAACTAGCTGTACTCGGAGGTCTCCGACTCGTACCCTGGATCCTCATCAAACTCATCCGCAACAAGGGCACCTATGGACGCCTATGGTATCGACACGCCTCCGCGGACCCAGGCAGCGAGCTAGTAGAATTACAGAATACCTGTTTCAGCGTATTCCTTATTTGCAACGTCAGTAACATCACTTACAAAGTTACAGCATGTGATGTGCAACCAGGGTCCGGAAAAGCAGTGCTCTGCTACGTGAAATACCCAATTAGCCGAAAAAAGCTTTGGAACCTGCTAAGTCAGGTGAGACGTGGCGAGAATCCGTCGGCTTCGCATGAGTTCGAGACGATACCGATTCAAGCGTGCGTGTTTGAGCCGAGAAGACGCGACGCCGGAGTCGCACTATGCGACGGGGAGGAGTTGCCGACCTCCAAAATTGAAATGGGAGTGTTGCCAAAGTTTGCATGCTTAAAATTTTGACGAGAATTCTTGTCTTTGAATTGTCATATAATATTTCCATAATTCAGATAGACCAATTTCTATTGTAATAAATTTTTTATTGAAAAAATTTTACCATTACAATCGAATTACTAAATCTTCAAGCAGGGGACGGATCTAGGATTTTCTCAAGGGGGGAGGGGCGGATTTGCAAAAAATGTTCGAAATTTTTGGTCGACCCTTTTTTCTAAAAAGATTGTTTTGGCCAAATTTTCTGCGCCACAGGCAAAATTTTGAAAAAGCAAAGCCGAAAAAAAAGATGTTTTTAGCCACTTTTTGAAAAACTTTGACCAAACTTACAAAGGGTGGACTCTTTGTGTCGGCAGGGAGTCGAATCTCTGAAGAAGGAAGCGTCCCCCCCCCCCCCTCAAACCCGCCCCTGCCTTCAAGGATCCTAAAGCAATTACCAAGTTTTTATATTTCTACAATACTTGTCGTCTAAAAAAGCAAAAGAATCTTACAGCAGAATTTTATCTTAAATATGACAGTTTCCTTTCAGTGATTAAAGCAGCCAAAATACTTCAGCAATTTAAAAAAAAAGCAAGAGAGCAAACATTAGGTAAACCTGAAATGGATTTGGAGGCCCCTGATTTCTAAGACTGCTTTTTAATGTTAGCTGAAACGCGGCGGTCCTTTTTTTGAGATTTCGAAAATGTTTGATGCTGTTTGTTTTGTCTGTTAGTTGATTTTTTTAAGTTAACCACAACTTCAAAATTCCAAGACAAGTTCATTTGTTGTATTTTATACTCGTTTAACTTCCATTAAGAATATACTCGGTCAAGAATTTGGTTACATTAAATTTCTTGTAATTGTATGCACTTTCTATTATCAACTTTTGTGAATATTAGGACATTTCTGAGAATTATTTTTTATCCAAGCACTTTGGATTGAATTCATTACTTTCTTGGATTGTTTTCATTATAAAGGAACTATATTCTAGAGTTCTTTTTTTTGGAGCCATTTTTGGTTCCTCAAAGTTTCAAAGGGTTAAAATAAACTGGTTTTGCAATCAGAGTAATTTACCGCAGAGGTGGTGGGTGAGACAAGAAAAGTGATCTCCTTATCTCAAGTTAACCTAAAACAAGTTTTCCGTGAACAAATTTTCTTACAAACCTCTTTTCTTTGGAAATGTTTTATTTATTATTCCGTAACAACTTCCAGAGTCTTTCCCATTTGACCTAGAGGTAACCCCGAAGCCTTTATATCTTAGGTCTGGGGTTCGAAGCTCGGCTGAACCTTAATGTTTTTTTTTCCAGTATGTGATGCAATTGAAAATATTTTTTTTTCGGTAAAAATTGAATAGTCGGACTTTTGTTTGTCTGCTCATGTTTTCTCGTCTTAGTTGCCAAATCACTTGCTCGTGCTGTAAGTAGCTTTCATTGCTGCATCAATTGCAAATGCTGTTGATGCTAGTTTCATTGGAGCCTGAATGACTTAGAATTTTTTTATTAACACTTTGTTTTCGGCTCAACCGGTGGCTACTCAAAGATTGCCGGCTTAGTTGCACATTACGGATTTTTTTCTACTGTAATCAATTTTAATTGTAATTACAAGTCAAAGTGTTATTCTTTGTAGTTTCAAGTGGGACTTAATGATAAATTTTTTTAAATGGAACCACACTGTTCTCTGCTCAACTTGTGACCACTCAAAGATTGTCGCTTTGTTTCCTCTTTGGAAGTTTTGTTCCGTCGCTAACTAAATATTTAAGAGTCTAGCATCTTTGCCTAGAATGAACTTCTATCGAGACTTACGAGACTTAATTTTTGTTAGACCTAAAATTTTTTAAACATTTTCATTTTTCGACTTCTTATTTTTCTTACGTTAGTTGTATCAACTGTTTTTGACTGCTTGTGAAGCGTAAAAACAACCCTCCCCTCCTAAAAAACGCAAAAACTAAACGCTTACCAACAAGGAGCCCAACTAAAGCTGAAGACAACAAGGGGCCCAACTAAAGCTGAAGGTGCGTGCGTGTTTGATATTATTTGATTTTTATACGCTGACGCGGGACGAAATGCGTAATTTCAAAAGTTGGATTTTCTCCAAAACCTTAACTGATTTTCTACTTAAAAAGTCAGAAGAACGAAAACTTTTGGTTATTGATATTTATTCAAGGACTTAATATCTTTGATAAAAAAATTATGGTTCCGCAATTTCAACAGGAAAAATTCTCGCAACAGGTTCTTTCGATTGAATTTTTCATCTCAGACTTGACAGAGTAGTTGTTTAGAAAATTTCAAAAGTTTTCTAGAAAATGGTGGGGGTCAAAAATTGTCCTTTTCAAAAGAGCGGTTGAGGTCAAAAGTTTTCCTTTTGAAAAAAAAACAGGTCGTGGCCGCTAAAGTAGAGAAGATTCTCAAAACTGGGTTTTTCGATTGAACACTTATCCTGAGAATAGGCACAGTAGTTTTTGAGTAAAAAACGATCAAAGTTTCAAAACTGTGACTTGTTTAAAAGCCATGACTTCAAAAAAAGAATTGGACGTGGGCAATTATAAAGGTCGGGGTTCAACAACCTGTGGTTCCGATTAAGCCTATATCAGATTCGATAGGACAGTTTTAGGGACAGTCGAAAAGACAGTAGAAAAATTCTACTTTCGAGAATCATAACTTCTTGTTTAAAACATTTGGGCGTAGCCGTTTATGCCGAAGATAAATACGCAACCTGCAATTTCGATTGAACCTAAAACTCAGATTTGGGAGAATAGTTCTCGAGAAAAGTTTAAAAACGGTCAAAAAAATCAAAAAATTTACTTTTCCGAGTGCCATAACTTTAAATATTAAAAATTTGGGTGTCGTTGCGCAAGCAAAAAAAATGTCCACAACCCGTATTTTGGATTGACCCAAAATCTCAAATATGGGAGAGTAGTTTTTGAGAATATTCCAAAAGTTAAGAAAAGGGTCAAAAATTCAAATTTTCCGAGGACGATGCCTTTTTTCTTAAAAAAAATTGTGAATGGCAGCTAATGCAGGGTGGCTTCTCAATACCCGTTATCAACTACAAACCGACTATCTCAGATTTCAAAAGTTGATTTTCAGGAGAAGTCAAAAAGATTCAAAAAACGGTCAAAAATCAAAAAATTGACTATTCTGAGGGCCATAACTTTTTGTGCAACAAAAACTAGTCGTAGCCGTTTATGCAGAGGACTTTTTGAAATCCGACCGTTCACTGAAAACAAAATTTCAGATTTCAGAGTGAAATTTTTGAGTAACAAAAAATCAAAATCAGGGGTCAAATAATTTTCAACCGATTTTTTGAAGGCTGTAAAGAGTAAAAAAAAGACAAGGATTAAAAAAAGAGACCAAATTATTTCCTTGATAGTCATTGTTTTTATCAACTTTTGCAATAAGTGAAAAAAAAATTCCGAAGGGTCTCAAAAAATTTTAAGCAAGTATACCAAGCCAGACATCTGAATTTCAAATTAACAAGTGATCAAAAATTACGAAGCGGGACAAAGCCGAAATTCTTTGAGCAGACACCAGATGAGCCGGAAAAAAATGATTTTTTAAAAAAAGTTGTAAAGTTTTAAATCCCCGCTGAAAATACAATCAACAACACTTGAAACTAACATGATATTTGCTAACAGCACAAAAAAAATTTGTGATGTGGCAACTAAGCCGACAAAACTTGAGCAGATAGAAAGTCTGAGAAACACTGAAAAAAAAAACAAGATCCGACCGTGATTCGAACACGAGACCTTAAGATATAAAGGCGGCGTTACCTAGGCCAATTCCGAAGGAACCTGAAAGATGTTAGATTCAAACTGGACAATTGGAAAAGAGTATTGAACGCAAGGAAAGTGAAAAATTTTCCCGAAATTCAAACTAATAGATGTCCTTAAAGCTCTTTGAACTTGTAAAACAATGTATGATGGACTTTTTTGTTAAAATTAACCCTATTTGAGAAAACTGGACCAATAGGAAAATATTTTATTTCTCGGGGAAATCTGATAATTAATTTCAATTTTCGAAATTAGAAGTCGATCACGTTTTTGTGATTTTTACAATTTTGCTGTTCGATAGTGGAGTTTGCTTTCCTTTTTACAATAGAAATGCACTGAATTTAAAAACAAATCACAAGTCAAACCGCGAAAAAACAAAATTGAGCGTAAACAAACTTTAAGACTTCTTCCTGAAAAAAAATCAGCAAGACTTACATAAGAGTACTCACTGCGTTCATTTAATAATAAGAGTACTCGCTTAATAATCAAGCAAGCTTAAAATTAGTAGGAAAAATTGTTTACGGAAAAAAGTCTATTTTCCCGATTGGAAAACACTTGTTTTTATAAAATAATGAACAAATGCAAAAAAAAAAATAAAAACTAATATTTGTAAAGTGATATGTAATTATAGCCGACAGACAATTGGAAAAACGACCATGAACTCAAGGAAACCAAGAAGAGTATTGTTTTTTTTCTGTAAGACTTTGAATTGAACAGAAAATCAAAAATACCTTATTGCGCTTTCAATTTTAAATCTTTGTTTTGAGCTTTTTGAGAACACTGAATCTAAATGTAATTCTTTACTTCCAATTGAAGCTACAAATTGAAATGCTCTATCAGATTTTATTAAGTTGTGCTTGAACCAGTTGCACTTTTGCAGCTGAAGGTTGTATTTTGCCTTGGAAAAAATCGGGAAAAAACAGCATGAGTAAATATCACAATTTTTTCCTTAAAATATAGCCAACAGTTGAAAAACAATCAATGAGCGCAAGGACACAGAAAACAAACAGACCTGTTTTTGATCAAACTTCAACTTTCGAAATTCAAAATAAAAAACAAATGAATGTAGTTTTTCTGCTAGGTTGATAAAAGGATCGACGTAAAAAAATTGAGGCATATTAGACAGTAATAGTAATATAGACAAATTGGCCGAAAAATTTTGTTGAAAACAGACTTAAAAAAATTACAAAAAAAAATAATTTTTTTTTAAAGAAAAATTTTCTGAAAAATATTTTTAAAAGTTTTTTCAGTCATTTTCCTGCAAAATTTTTGTCTAATTTGCCTCAATACTATTACTGTCTAATATGCTTTAATTATATTCTAATGTCAGATGCTTTTATCACACCAAGCAGAAAAATTACATTAATTGTAAAAAAAAACTTTCTAAACGGTAGTTTTCTAAAGACTATGGTCGGAACTAAATTGCCAATATGAAGCTTAAAAAACTCCAAAAACTAGTTTTAATTGCCTAAAAATTAAGTTTTAAGGTCTTATATTAGGCATACTTCAGCTGTTGTAAGCCTGCTTGCTCGCTTCACTCGCTCGAATTAACAAGAAAAAGCAAAAGTTTCAAACCGGTTTTTCTCGAAACTAGGAATTTTTTTTTGCAATTTTTTAAATAAGGTTCGAAGCACGACTGAAGGGGGCTTTAATAGGATATATATATAACTCAACCCAGTCTGATCTTTATTTGTGGTACCTGGTTTTAAGAGGAAAACAAAAAAAAACTAAACCGCACTCGAATTCTAAGTTCCTCCCCATGTTCAATGGTCGGAACAATTACCAGTCAGCATGAATTTTTTTTAATTGAGTGGATATAACTTTAGTTAAGTGGAAAACCTCTCAAGGAATAAGCGAATTGTGGGAGAAAAATTAATTCGTTTTACAACACTAACTTCGCTTGTATCAATATAGATGGACTTTCCGAAAGTCAAATGCTCAAACTAGAATCAAATCACACCTTTTTTTTAACGAGCGTTAATTTTTTACGGTGCCTTTGGCGTCACTATACATTAACTCCAAGGAAATCGAACGCCGAAAAACGCAGTTATCTAATCACACCATCCCAAAAAAATTTTAAGCTTTATTTCTCAGTTTTTTTCAAAACTATAGTAACTAAGTAAAAAGTGGATTATCAGAAAGCTTGAAAAACAGAAATGTCAAACAAAAATTTTGATGAAAATCTATCAAAAACTGCCCGTCATTAGTCGGTTCATGATGCCTCAATACAATAGTGTTGATACACTGCAATATGCTAGTCAACATATCACCACTAAAACAATGAATTTATTTAAAAGGGTGAATTACAAAACGTGAGATATGATTTATAACATCAAAAGGAGATTAAGTTCACGCAATCATCATGTATGAGCTGAAATCATTTCATCTAGATTTAGCTAAAGAGTACGATTTGAGAGACATTTGGTTGTACTGGTAGTCCTGGTGTGACTTTCCACTGTAGCAGTCTAGTTCTGGGATGCATCTACACAAAACTACCTTTTCTTCTATCTGTCTGGCAATTGTCCGAGTGTGGGACACTTCAGTAAGAGTGACTCTACAGTTGGCTTGGTGGTAGTGGTAGGTCAGAGTAGAATCAACTGAGTTCTCCATGCTAGTGGCCCATTTCTGCATCAGGTCCGTCTCTATACTTCTGCCTAGACATCAATCAAATGCAGTATGAATTTGCCATACTAAGCAGCATCACTTTACAATGCGCTCATCATTTCATTTTTGTTAATTTATAAATCGGTTTTTAAAAAATTCTTTAAAATGTGTATATTTTGGTAAGTGCTATGAGCCAGTGTTTTGAAAAAGTTTTGAATAATTATGAAACTGTCTGGTAACACAGGTTTTCCAATTATCAAAAACCAAATTTCATCCTTCTGATCACTAAAAAATTTGGATCTCGGTTGCACTTTCTGGTACACCTGAACAACCGAACGTCAATACTTTTAAGACAGACTTCAATATCAAGACCTCAATACAATCAACTACGTTTTTCATCGAACAAAACAACTAAGGCGGAAAAAATTGCGCCGAGAAAGCGAACGATTGGTTCTCATTATAGAGAAACAAAATTTACTAAATGATAAAACGGTTGGTTCTCGTGTAAGTATGTGGAATTAACTAGTCAGTTTAGATAAGAATGGCCTAGCGTTGGTTTTGGCTCAAGGAACGGCTAAAATGCGGTGAAAGTCGATTTTTATCTCACCAATAAGATACACAATTCGGGCCCCAATGAGATAAACGATTCATCTATAACTTACGCCCCAAGTTTTGATGGATTAACCAAAAGACTGAAAGTAGTCGAAAAATGCAGATCCCGGAATTGGTCGATGAAGTCCGAACGTTTTCGGGATTTTAAATAATATTGTGCATGTGCAGTAGTGCCCCCGGTATAGTACGCTATAGGGGGATATCTGCTGTGACCAATGATTTAAAAATCCCAAACTTTTAGAAAAATCGATTTTAAACAAATCTTAAATCAGACCAATCTTAGATTTCTGATAAGATCTTGCAAATAAGAATCTAAATTTTAACAAGGAATCAGTAGCTTTGCAAGTAGCAGAGAATATACTACAACAATTATTCATGAAAACAAAATGAAAAAAAATTTGAAAACAAAAAAAAAAAAAGCTTTTTTTGCAGAAATCTTTCTACTTTTCTTTAAAATCAACTGAATTAGGTGAAAAAAAGCAGGAATAATTGGCAATTTAACGCTGAAATTGTGAAAATCAAGTCATACTGTTTTTTTCTTCATTAGCCGGAAAACCAACAAATTTATTCAGAACAGTTTTTCTCGACGCTCTTTTCAGACAGCTTTTTCGATATTTTTTTTCGAATCGGATTTGTGCACGAAAGCTTTGATATGATACCACACTTAAGCCCCTTTTTCCTCAAATTTTCTATGAGAGAGTCAAAAGTCGACGGATTAAAAAAATAGTCCTACGCAATAGTTCTTTTCCACCATCGGATCAACAAAATGCGAAATATGCGTTTTTTTGAACAGGTGGAGAAAAAAGTAAGGCAACTAGAGACTTTCAAAACAAAACATGAAACAAAAATCTTCGAAAAAATACAAATCAAATTTGTAACTACTATGTTATTTTTTAACGCATATTGTGATTTACCTAATCATTTTCTGCAAAAATCATAAGAAGGGACAAAAAATATGAAAAAAAAACTTTCAAAACCTGTTTGTTTAAAGCTCCAATTGAAAAATCTTAAACAGTTTTTGCAAAAACTGCTAAACCGCGCGAAAAAAATTGATCTCAAGTTGCATCTCTGCATAAAGAAATGAAAATAACTTTTATATTCCGGATCAACAATGTACGAAATTAATTCCTCTGATATAAGAGTCTCGCTTCGCTGTCTATCGAATTTAATTTTTTTTTCTGTTATATAACGTCATAACGTGTTGTTTTCACACAAGGAAAAATATTAAGGTTTCAAAGAGATTATTTTTTGAGTTTTTAATATTATTCGGTTCTTCTCCGGTATAATGAGCTAGTGATCAAAAAAAATTATTATGATTGCTTTTTAGTTAAGAGCCAGCTAGTTTGAGGGTAATATTAAGACTGAACGCTATCTAATTCCTATGACGTAATTGAGAGGAACTTCGGATTTTCCGCGTAACATAAACTAGGCTTCGCTAGTTGTAGTCGAGCAACCGTTACTTGAACTTCAATCAAGTCTTTTTGTGCAGCGTTGAGAAATGGTTTTAAATTTAGTCGTTTTTGATAGAGTTCATAGGGCGACATTTTGTCAGTTTTCTTCTTAGTCTACCGAATTAGAATGTCGTTTCAATTCAGTTTATTATTTATACATTTCAGCTATTATTAACTAAACTAGTGGAAAAAATTTTGCTCAGATTTTGTGTTTCACTCTGGAAAGCCTTTTTTAAAGACCATTTTTGACAACATATACTATGAATTTAAAAAAAATTATTATGTCAGTGAAAAATCTCCAATCTGCAAAAGAATCAAAATATTAAAGATTAGCCAGTTTATTCTTTCTCTGAAAAAAAAACAATTGTCACTATTCGCAAAAAATTTGCCAACCGCGTGAAATTGTAAGAAACCAGCTTAATTCAGAATTTTTCTAAAATATCTGGACTATTTTTTGCTCAATAGAAATCACACATAGTTGTAGATGAACCTCAAGCTTTCCTGAGCCTCAAATTACATAGATTGGGCCAAATTAAGTAAATATTGGAAGATTTAAACCGATCACTATATGAACAAACAGTTCAAACCTCTATGTAACATAATTTCTATTATTGAAATTTCTGAAAAATAACAATATTATCTGCCCCAGAATGACCAAGTCAAGATCCTCCACCCCAGCATTTAACTTGAATTAAGTTTGCTACAGTGCTGGTTTAAATTAACCGGACAAAACGCGTTAAACTTGAAATTTAAAACGCGTTTTTCTCAAATTGGGTCGAATTTAGGAGAAAAATTTATGAAGACAAAACTTGCTCAAAATTTTAGCAGAATTATTATGGTGTTATTTGTTTTGAGAAATTCGGGCCCAAAATTTTACCCCAAAAATTGGTCATTTTAGCTTTTCTTAGTTAATCAAAAATTACGCCAAAAGCACCCAGTCGATCACAGACATAATTAGATCAAAATGAGCCCCTTAAGTAGTCCAACAAACTTTAAGAAGATTATATTCCCCAAAAAATTGTATAAATTAATTTATTTTTGTTTGATAGACAAAAAGGTCGTTTTACTATAAAATACCAACTTTTTATTTAAAAACAATTTTTAAACGGTTTGCAAATTTTTTTTTGGAGAATATCCCTTTTGGGCCCGAATTTTGCAAAACAAATTACACCATATTAGTTCTGCTGAAATTTAAAGCAAGTTTTGTCTTCTAAACTCAACCCAGTTTGAGAAAAACGCGTTTTAAATTTCAAGTTTAACGCGTTTTGTCCGGTTAAATTAAATCAGCACTGTATGAGCTGCAAAAAGTGCTCGATTAGGATTAGCTGAAAATTCCAGCTTAGAATCAAGCTTGAAAACAATTTATTATTACGCAGAGGCGAAGCTGCGCTTCAAAAACACTTGCGAGAACACAACCAAAAAGTAACTCTATCAAATACAATAGTAGAAAAAAGCCTCGAGTTGACAAAAACTCAGCTACATTATGGATTTGAATCTGCGACCTACTGCAATCAAGAGGTTTTGAGTCTCACGCACTTGAGTCTCATCCACTCAGCCACGCAAGCTTAACAACCGTCAAACACTAGTCACGAAAAAAGCAGCTACATATGCTAATCACCTGCCAATGCCATTCAGCAAAACAAGCACCAAATACAAACAGACTCAAATTTGAATGTACTAATATGAATATAACAAACTGACGGAATCTACACTAACTGTGCATGTACCAAATTGTAACACATAAAGCCACATTATGTATGAATTATGCATTTCAAAAAATTGTGAGGTATATTTTCTGAAATTGAGTTTTCATTAATCGTATATTGTTTGAAACAAATCACTTTTTTCGGTTCATTTGATGAATTAAAAATGCATCAATTGTGTTAAGTTATAACTATTCGAATGTCGAAGCACATGCTATCAAAAAGCTGTAAAGGTGCCCACCACTATTTGGGTGACGTACCAATTTTTGCGACTTAGGTTGGGAAAAAAGGTTCGTAGTACTATTACACTCGCTTCGCAAGTGTAATTGTAAAATAACATCTCCCTCTGCTTTTGGGATGTTAATAAGCTTGAAATATTCTAATCGTTGCAACTGGTCTGGACGTTTTTTTTACAATAGTTTTACGTGTGTACAACTAGAAGTTTCAGGAGTTACTTATCTATATTTCAGTCCCCTCCGGGGTCTGAAAAAAAGCAATAAATCAGCCTACCTTCCACTGTCTTAAATAAGGAGCTCCTTCTTCTGTCTTTGGACTTCTCCCGCTGCTTTCGTTTCTCTTTCTCAACTATTGTGCTTCTGTGTTTCTCTGGTCTAGCTGCTTTTCTCCTCACCAGAACTCTCTTCCGGTCTAGAGGGTGTCTCTGGCCCAGGTAGTGAAGACAGGGTAACATTAGGAGGGCAAAGATGAGAGGGTGAAAGGTCAAGTGGAAGAAGAATAGCAGATAGTTGATTGATCCAGCGCCATTCTGTTCCATGTAATTTTACATCGCTTCATTTGACCACTTAGAAGTCAAATAAACGTGACTTTTGATGCAGCTTTAATTTGCAACTGTCGAGACACAAAAAATACTTTGTTTTAAACTGGTCGAGTAAAGTTAGCTTTGGGAGTTTTTTAGTGCCAATTTGGGAATCAAAAACTTCAAAAACCAAAAAAAAATCTGAAAAAAAAATTTGAAATTTTTTACAATTTTTTCTTTACAAAAAAGTTTTCCAATAGTGCTATAATACTGTGACTGTCGAATATGCCTATGTTCTATTTCCTGGTTCATGTCTTTTTTTAATCAAGCCACGTAAAAAAACGACACTAATTTGAATTAACTTGTTTTTGTATTTTTTTAAGACTATGGTCGGACCCATTCTGTGCTACTTGCACAGTAACGGGCTATCCTTGTTTAGTTTTAGCTTTAACCTCTGTTACTTGCTTTTTTCTTGCGTGCTTTTGTTGCAAATGATAATAAGCACAAAGGGAAAGTCTCAAGATACCGGCTACATGATCAGCTCACACTGACTCTCAGGGTAGAGGAATCACTTTTTGGTCATGATATGTTTACATGGTGACAAAATTGATTGATCTGCATGAGTTAATTGGGAGCTCAATAATCGTGAAAATATAAATAAAAAACACTTACCTGATTTAAAAAACTAACTTTCAGGTTTATCTCAACTTTAAGAACAGCTTGTGATTGACTTTTTTTGATTAAGAAAACTAGTTTGAAAAAAAAATGAATCAATAGGTAAAGTTTCATTTCGCTCGGAGCTCTGAAGTTCAAAGCCCACTTTCGAAACCAGAAGTCAATCATGCATTTTGCGACCTTTACATTTTTGCTGTTCAAAAAATAATTTGCCTTCCTTTTAACAAAGCAAATGAGCAGACATTTATAGCAAAAGTCAGAGCGTGAGCACATTATGAGCGTGAACAAATTCTAAGACTTTTTGCTGGAAAAAACAAACGAAAATAAATCATCACATGTACATGAGTCTTCACTAAGTTCATTGACCAATTAGCTGGATTTCAACTCGGAACAAGTTTAAGGGCGGCATGACAATTTGTGTTACAGATAAAGCCTTCAAAGTATCATGCGAGCAGACCCTCAAGCACAGCCAAGATAGTGCCTAGCAGACCCGCTTGGTAAAACGTAGATTCCAGGTTTGACGTCCACTCCATAACTTTTTTTCAGAAATTACTTTGAATAAAAAACAATTTCGAGCATATATAATCATCACTTTCCTCAAAACTTGGAGCTGAAAAATCCGAATTTGGCTAGAGTAAATCTATTAACAATGCCTCAATAGTTTGCGCAAACAAAAAATATGTTTGCGAAAACAGAACCCGGAATGACAGGCGCGTACAAACATCCCGGGCCATTGAACTCATAAAATAAAACTATACTTCAATTTAAGAGACACTTTCAATGTGCAATGGGGCTGACTTTTCAAGCGAAGATTTAATGCAACAAATAAAATTGGTTGCTTCGCAAATAGCCAAGAATGCTCCGACCACTTTCATATACTACAAAAAAAATTTCTAATTTTTCTTTCAAATGGGTGTTTTTTTTGTACGTGGTGTGACAAAAGAATTACAGGATTGTGTATCAAAACAGATTATTATGCATCATCGAAAACCGTTGTCTTATTAGCAAAAAAAAACAATTTTTTAAAGAACATTTGTATTTTATTTCAATAACTTTTTTGAATACAGTTCGGGCAAGGAAGCACTAATCAAAGCTTACAAAATTAGTTTTCATCCTAGTTAAACTAGTTTTCTGAGCAAAATCGACCAACTACCATAAAACTAACAGTACTCGATCGCTTCACTAGCTCAAAATTAGGCAAAAACTGAAAATTTCAAACGGTTTTTCTCTTTACTGTGACAACTTTTTGATAACACTTTAATGTCGTTTCATGCACGATTGAAATTTTTTTTTTAATATAATGTATTTCAACCCATTCCGATGAGTATATGTGCTACCTGATTTTGCTTGGAAAAACTATAACACATCCGAAGACATAGGCCCTTCCCATTTTCAATCGCCGGAACCAAAACATCTAAGCTCAGTATCAGATTGACATTCGATAATTTTTTCAGCCATATTCAATTTGTTCATATTGAAAGCCATATTTTCGGCCATCGAGTGTTCCTGATCTTATTTTCATACAAGAAAAATTCAAACTTCTCGAGAAAAAATTTTCTGACGACACACCGCACTAAGTTCACAGTGATTCCAATAAAAGCTTTAAACGATGCGTTTTTTTGAGGAAAAGGTTAAAAAAACTGATGCTCCATTTCCGAAAGCCGATAGATTCTTATTGTGGTAGATACAAAAAAGCGCAATTTGGCTGAAAAAACATCCAAATTTATCACACCATAATAAACTATAATGACTAAATTGACTTCAGACACTCAATTGTTTGAAATCGCATCGCATGACTCCTAGTTTGACATAATTCTTTTACTACCTACTCTCAATTTACAAACTCAAGGAAATTGACCTCTAAAAATAGCACTTACAGCAATTTTTGAATGAATTTACTTTTTTTTCATAAGTTTTATCTGATAAGAATCATAATTATTTGCTGTTGTTTTACAAGTCATTGAATTCTAAACTTTTATAATCTTCAATGTAAATAGTCGTTTTACCAAAAACGAACATAGCCAACTAACAGTTGAAAAAGAGTCAATGAACACAATTAAATAAAAAAAACTGAATTTCAAAAAAAATAGATACCTTTAAAAATTGATCAAAGAAACCAATGATATTTAACAAAAAAGCCAACAGAGTTGGAAAAGAGTCAATGAACGCCAGTAAACAGAAAAAATACATCTTATCATTATTTTATAAATCTCACCTTTTGAATTTCAAAGAAAAAATTAATGGCCTTAAAGCTCTTTGCATGTCTAGAACAAATTATGATTGGGCATTTTTTCGACACAATTGACCCTTTTTGAGAAAACTGGATCAATCGGCAAATTTTTCATTTGTCTGGGAAATCTGAAAATTAAATTTCATTTTCGAAAAACCAATCACGTTTTTCGTGATATTTTTTCCTTTTGCTGTTCGTCAGTGGAGCTTGCCTTCCGTTTCCTTAAGGAAACGACCTGAACTTAAGCAAAAGTCAAAAAATGCGAAAAAGTAAATTTGATCCTGAATAAATTTAGATTTTTCCTGAAAAAAACCAAAACTAAAATCATCGAGACATATATAATGGTCTGAACTACGTTATTTGTCTCTTTAATTATCCGATTAGCAAAAATTTTCATTTAAAACTCACAAAATTGTTTCTGTTATTTAAACATTAACAAGTTCTTAAGTACTTTATTTGAATCCCAACCGAAACTTTTTTAAACAACAGACTGTTTTACAACACAGGCGAAGATGAAAATCGCAATACAAACGAAAAACGGCAAATGGCCCCTGAAATTTAAAATGGCAATAACTTTTTTTGACTTTCACAGATGCTTTAGTAGCAAATACGAGGCAGCAGTGAATGTCTGCTGATTCAGAAGATCTTAACATTCGGTTTAAAACGTAAGTAAGCCAACATAAATTCTGGCAGTGTCAATGAACAAGAAAAAGGCAGAAAAAAATTATTGATCGTGTTTTCAAGATTTTTTTTGACAAGATTAATTTTGGAAAAAAAGTACATCACGCAGATGCTCGTTGATTTCTAAGAATAATTTCTGACAGAAACTTTCTTCATAAAATAAACTTAGAGAAAACAAGGCCACAGGGCAAATTTTAATTCATTCACGTTTTTTCGCACCCTTTCATCTTGCTTAATCGGAGAGCGTGGATTGCCTTCATTTTAGCAAATGATTTTGGTTTGAACTAAGAAAGAACAAAACCACACGGCTCAATAAGTGTGTTCACTATGTTCATTGACACATAATAATCAGACACATCTTTACACTGCAGAAAACGTGCTAACTACATCGGAAAAAATGACAGATTGTTTTATAACAGTTTCGGCAAGCTCTGCCTATGTCAAAATGCGTAAATTGCATTGAACAGATAATGATGGTATTGGCTAACTTTGAGTAAACTGTCGTTGTGCGTCTGACAAAAATGTGGCCTTAGAGTGTGGGCGAATTACTTTCGTAAAAAAAATTGATAAAAAAACTTTAATTAAACTAGAATATATACAAACTAAACGGTTAGAACTCCTTTGATTCAATCATTATTAACAAAATTAATGTTGAATGAATAAAAACTATTGCACTTTGTAAGTTATAAAAAAATACTGAAAAGAGACTGCACATACGATAGGACTGATTTGATTGACGGGATTTTTTTAGTTTGAGCTTCAAAAATGCGTACATTAAATGCGTACAGTAAATCATGCAGTTGGATTGGAACCTGATTTGGCATGTGAATTTAAATGCCAATTATAAACATTTGTTGACATAGTAAACTTTTTAAAATTGATTTTTTTTTGCAAGCTGAAGCAAAAGGGAAAGCTAAATGATGATATTCAGAGACCATTAGAAACTATTGAGAAATAGCACATCATGATAATCGGTTTATAATACGGGGTTGAATAGATTGTGACCATGTTATTTAATAAGCCGTTTAAAGAAACGAAACTGCTCAAATAACAGAAGCGTTAGTAGAGAATATAATTTTTCTGCTTCAAGATTTTACTGTTTTTTTGGGCCTGCAAATTTACTTTTTCCATTCAATAAGTTTACGCAATTTACCCGGTGACTAGATTCATTATAATTTTTTTAATGATTTTTTTTAAAAGAAGTGCCAAAAACGGCAAAAAAAACGCACGAAAATTAAAAAAAAAGAACTTCGAATGTTTAAAAAACCAAATACTACCCGATTCGCACCCTATCTTCGGAGCAACAGTCAAATGTCCTGGTCCTTTTTAAGCGTTCACTACTTACCAATACTGGTTTTGAAATAAAAGTCAGAAGAAAAATGAAAGTTTCGGTCAATAGAAAACCTTATATCTTTTACACTGCAGTGGCAAAACAAAAAATCTTGCGGCAGATAAAATTAGTAGTCTATTAAAGGGGAGCGTTTTCATAATAAAAATTAATGCTTCAAAGCTATGTTATTTTTTAACGCATATTGTGATTTACCTAATCATTTTCTGCAAAAATCATAAGAAGGGACAAAAAATATGAAAAAAAAACTTTCAAAACC